TAGGAAGAGGTTGTACTGAGTAAATAGATACCCAACATACCAAACCTTAAATTTCTGTGCACCTATGAAATGGTGACAAACTTCAGAACCCTATATTTTCTATAGGCAACACTTCACAAGCCGCTATAGGTCACAAGTTTAGTGTTATGGAGCAGGTCTTGTGGTAGAATTATCGCTCTCACTCCGGCATGCACAGTGATATGTAACGTGTATCACAATCAACATTTTTACGGGTCTGCGCCCTGATGTGTGCGTTTATGCTCATATGTGCTTATATGTGGGGGCCTCAATTTTTTTTTTTTTAGCGGGATGTTATGTACTTGGGTGTAACTATTTTTTTGCAATTAAAAAAGTATATTTTTCATCACATAGGGGACACAAAGTCCTTTATGTGATTATTTTTAGGTGACAGGTTCTCTTTGAGACATGCAGGGTCTAAAAGACCCTGCATGTCTCCTCCTTGTCCCCACTAGATGTATTGTAATGCAGATAGAAAGCGACAGCCGTGACCTGGAAGTGACATCATACATGTCGCCTTCCGGGTCATAGAAAGAAGGATGGGCTAGTGGGGCCCAGATACATGGCAGGAGCATACGCGGAGGGAAGGCACCGGTACCGAGGGCTGTGGAAGCAATTGGGCGGCAGTGCAGCCACCCGACTGCTTCCACCTGATAGATAGGAGTCTGCCTGTCCGTTTTATACACAATCGCAGTGGCTGCAGCCACCGGATTGTATATAAAACCCCCTGCTGTCAGGCCCATACGATGTATTGACCTGGCGGCAAAAGGGGTTAAATGAGCAATTAATGAGCAAAGCCACACTGCAGGGATCATTTTTTTGTATTTGTCCGGAGTTGGGCTTTAAAGTGATTGTAAATCCTTATATCTACCCAGTGAAGTGGCTAGCCTGAGGTGATACAAAGAGATGAAACAAATCCTCCTACATAAGTTGTACCTGTTTATCTGAAGTGTTCTGTTTTCTATGTCCATTCAAAGTGCTGAATTTATACAGCTTGTCAGAGTTCAGAAAAAAAGGGGACAGAGCTGAAATTACACTCTGCAGCGCTCAGTGAGGAGAGCTCTAAGAGTTGATTGGAGGGAAGAGACACATCCCCCCTCCACACAGCTCACAGGAATAGAGCTGAAGCTGTCAATCTGCTGGAGGTCCCTCCCATCACCACTTTCTCTTGGTGTCAGGAAAACTTGACACTTGGTGCATTTAATTGACAAAACAAACACTAAAGAACAGTGTTTCTCAACCTTTTTTCAGTCAAGGCACCCTTTGAAATGATGTACAATTTTGAGGCACCCCATTGTAAAATGTATAAAATAAACAGTTACACTTCTCGCAGAAACATCCACACATGTAGGACAACCAACATTAGAGGCAGTTTATTTATCACACCTTTGCACACTGGTACTGACTAGTATTCCAACATTTCTCTTCTCCTTCAGTTTCTCTCCCTGACTTAACTAATGTGACCCCAATGCTGATGGAGAGGAGCAAACAAGGATGCCGTGCAGGGGCCCAATGTCCTCTTAACTAATTATGTCATTGGTTGTTAGAACACCAGTGGCTAGAAGGTTTCAATGGTGCACAATGAAAATATGTGGCTTTGAGCAACTATAAGGCAGGCTTAATCTTTGAGATTTTTTTCGGCATTTTGCTAAGACACCCATGACAAAAGCTGAAGGCATCCTGGTTGACAAAGGTTGCCATAGAGGGATATGCTTTGTCCACATTTCATGTCTGAGGTTTACAACCACTTTAATTACACTTGTGGTATTCCACTTGGGATAACTATATTTATGCTATTTAAAAAGTGGTGAAATCGGCCAGGGCCGGGCTGGTATTACTGACTTCAGTACAACCAGCCTGTTTTTTTTTTTTTTTTTTTGTTCAATCGCTGTCGGCAGCTAAAGCTGTCAGAATATAAAAGCTCTGTGGGAGAGATTCCCCCATCAACACTGACTGGGGGAATCAAGCAATTTTCTTTTCTGCAGTTGTTTAATGTGTGGCTTGCTCAAGAATTTTCAAAATCAATGGCAGCCTCAGCTCGAAATCCCATTGTATATAGATCAGGATCTCATGAATAAAAATGGATTTAAATTTTCTATGCTGACCATAGCAACTAGAAGTTATTTTTTTAATGTTGGGAGGTAAAGGAAACATTTAATTGGTTGCTATAAAATAGAGAACTTCTCTACTCCAGGTCTGGTGTTTTGTCGGATTCTGCAGCATAGGCAATTTTATACCATTGTTGAGATTTGGGCTGTACGTGCCGTTGTCGAGGTCAGGGGTGTAGGTACCCTGTGCCGTTGTTGAGATTTGGGCTGTATGTGCCGTTGTTGAGGTCAGGGGTGTAGGTACCCTGTGTCGTTGTTGAGATTTGGGCTGTATGTGCCATTGTTGAGGTCGGGTGTAGGTACCGTGTGCCGTTGTTGAGATTTGGGCTGTATGTGCCATTGTTGAGATTTGGACTGTATGTTGCTTTGTTGAGGTCAGGGGTGTAGGTACCTTGTGTCGTTGTTGAGATTTGGGTTGTATGTGCCATTGTTGAGGTCAGGGGTGTAGGTACCCTGTGCCGTTGTTGAGATTTGGGCTGTTTGTGCTGTGTGCTATTGTTAAGATCTGGCCTGTATGTGCCGAGTGAATGGTTAACAAGCAGAATGAGGATTGTGACGTTTTAATATCTGTGGAATGTGCAGTGTGTGGCATCCAATTGTTTAAAATTAGCCACTGACCCAGATTGCATGAGGGAGCCCTGAGGGGACATCTCTGGATGAAGAAGCCGCAGGTAATGCGCTCAGTGACATTGTGTGGAGGAGGGAGACGTCTGCAGATTATGGCTGTGCGTCCTCTGTTCACCATTTGTGGAATCTCAAGACAGGGACCCCCCGGTGACAAAGGAGCTGGCACTTTACCGAGAATGTGTTAATGATGCTCAAGCTTTAATAGAGATGGGGAATATCTCAGTATCTCTCTGGTGCTCTGTAATGGCAGCTGGTGGGTACATTTGTTAAAAGGCTCCTGTGTCCATGGCTGACCCCTCCATCCCATGAATGAAAGCAGCATTTAGCCAAAATTAAAACCAACCCATTTACTGCCTCTTAATAACTACTTCCTGCATTGGTTTTTAATTTTAGGACCCATTTACATCTCTATGCACCCCCAGAAAGAATATCTAGAATGCTGCAGTTCACACATCACTGCGTTCCCTGACTGGCTGACAGCCTGTAACATGCTGCAGTTTCAGCGAGGTGCAGGGAAGCCAGTGGGTTGCCAAAATGGCATTTGCAGAGAACTGTGACTATTCTCTCTGCATTCATTATCCTCCACTCCAAAATCCTTCTCGAGTCATTATCTGAACAAGCCATGCATAGTTTTTGCAAAAAAAAATCCAAATCCAAGATGCTCAGATACTCAATAAAGCGCTGCTATGTGCAGTACTGACATACAAGTGTAGTAACCAATGACAAGCAGATTTAATATTTTTACTAGTCTGATAAGTGTAAGCTAGGATCGGGTGGACTGCCACAGGTTGCCACATTGACATTGTGAATTTATTGAATGAGCCCCAACATTTGTGGCTGGCTTACCTTTTTTTATTATAAAGCTGCTTTCCAGCTGAACTGTGCCATACCTATACACATGAATGCCGCATACTGCAAAATTCTGATTTCAGCTACCCATTTACTGCTGTACGGAGTGCGATTGTCCTTGACAGTGGCCGGTGGCATCCCAAACGATGATGCGGGGACTGTTATTTTTGACAAACTGCATCAAAAGGAGTTTGCAGCTTGTGTGCGCTCATCCAGCTGGCTCAGAATACCCTTTTGGTTGCAGTATTTGGGGGATCTCCCGGCTCCCCTTATAAGACAATGGGCCATGTTGATGGCAGTGTCACAATTGTAGTGCATGGGATCCCTCAAAATCGCAGGTGAGATCTTCGAGCAGATGAGAGTTTCTCAGCACTGCAGAGCCATGCCGTTTGTCTGATGAGCTCAGCTCCGTAACAGACCATCAAGCAGCAGGATTATAGGATTACAGAGCATTAGATGAGCTGTCAGCACCACAGTGTATATCAGACATTCTCTGCAGAGGTGGCAGCTACTAAAACCGTACGATAAAATCCTTCCCACCCTGAACCTGGCAGCAGGCAGTACGTGGGCTCCTAGAAGCCATGGTGGACAAAGAGGTTCAATTAAAAACAGCCACTTTGCAGCTGATGAATAGCAAGACAAAAAGGTCTTTCTTAATAAGTGCACAGATCAACGATGTGCAGCTAGACACGGCGCAAAACGTTTCAAGATGATGACCGATTGCTTGCCGTGGGTGACTGAACACATCTTAAGCTTATTAAGCAAAGCGCGAACTGTCGGAAAACGTCCAGCGATGTGGCGCTCGGTGCTGCTTTCATTCACCTACCTCCCCTTCTCTTTCCTCGCCGCCTCCCTCCCCATTCCTCCCCGAGCTTGCTGGAGTTTTATTCTTTATTTCTTGTATACTTTCCCTAAATGCAACTTTAAGCATGCATCGACATCCTGCAGCCAAGATCTGACCCACTGTCGATATAAACCAATATATTTTCAGTTTTTTTTCTTCTCCTGTTTATTTGTCATGCACAAACAGACAGCACTTCTGTGTGATCCATAGTTTAACCTAACCCCCCCCCCCCCCCCTCCCCGGTTGGTGTGGATTCCAGAAATTATGCATTAAAAATGTGCAACTTAAAACTACATTTACGCATCTGATCATCAACTAATCAGAATGTTTGGTTGGAAGAGCCACTGGTTGGTGTAGAGCTGTACATCATTGCAGGACATACAGGTGAATGCAGGGGCGGACTGACAACTCATGGGGCCCCTGGGCAATAGGGGATCATGGGGCCCCTGTGTCCTTGCCCAAACTCAAAAAAGCCTATGAAAAAGGTACCAGGGGCATCTCATGGGGCCCCCTACTGACCCCCGGGCCCTCGGGCAGTGCCCGAGTTTTCAAATGGTCAGTCCGCCCCTGGGTGAATGCAATAAAGCAGTGCAAATTAAATCGTCAGTGCAGAAACCCAGAGCAATCAGGTTTCAGAACAATTCCGTCCGCTATAGGAAACTGCAAATTGCACAACTCGATTAAAGATGCCAATACACGGACACACAAGGGCGCTTCCAAGAGTTAGGTTGCACTGAACGCAACATGCTCATAATCAGCAACACCAAGAGATCCAGGTGGACAAGCTCCGCACCTATGCAGTCTGTGTGTGCATCATTTGGAAAACTGTGTTGGCATTCCTTATGTTTTGGCATCAAAGGACTCACTTTCTCCCTTGTGAGATGAGAATGTTTTCCTATTCCCCCCCTTCCCCGTGTGGTTTTAATCTGTCGGTGTAACTCTTCTCAAATATAATGTCCTTTATTTGATGCTTGGTTTGTTTCAAAAATTCCACCCTTCCCTGCTTTTAAATTGAGCTGCAAAAATATGCTGTCTTTTTTTTTTTTAAATTCTAACACATTCTACTGAGGAACAACTTTAGCTGCCTCGACTCAGTGATCCGTGCTGTGTTAGGACCGTAGTGGGTGTGCCAGGTGTCAATCCAGTAAGAGTCCTCCATCGTTTCACACACCTTTCTCTCTGACCCGCAGCTAAAATTGTTCCGAGGATGAGCCAACGTCTTGAACCTAAAGCCCCCATCTGCTGTGAACTGGTTTCGCTCTGCTATTCATGTTAACCTCGCTCTCATATTTTTTTCACTTCTATAATTTTTTTTAGTAGAAGAAAAAAAAAAAAAACTTTTTGGGTTGTTTTTTTTATTTTTTATTTTTTTTTTTAAAAGATAATGCTGTCTAATATTTTTCTTGCTTTTGTTTGATGTGGATCTTGCTCATTTTGGGGGGTGATTTAAAAAAAATAAAAAAAATAAAAGGTGAAGGAGATTTGCATGACGAACAAGTTGCAGTTTAGGGTTTGTAATATCTGTCAGTGTGTAGACTTTGCTTTTTCTTTTTCTAGATGGGCATGCAAATGTTCATTTTGTTTTTTTTGTTTTTTTTTTCTTTTAATTTTTTTTTTTATTTGTTCTGTATATTGCCTGTCCCTTCCTTACAGCCAGAAGCTCAAAAGCTGCTAGATCACTACGTAACGCCTTATCATGGACATGGCAACTGACTCAACACACACCCTCGGCCTACTCATTCTCATCCAATGTCTAGTGTCCTCATAGATTTGACCTCTCCCAGTACCCTTACTTTTCACCCCCACCCCCCCCCCCCCCCCCCTTCTTTATTCCATCCATTAGATGTTTGTATTTCCCCCCCCAAAAACGATCAACTCCTTATAGATAAGACAATTTTTTTATATTCCGTTACAGAAAATTACAAATCTAGTATGACTAGGCACAAAAATCTCCCAATTTGGAGCGTTATTCCAGCATTCAACCTTACGTACAACAAAAAGTAGTAACAAGATTTAGTTCACTTTGCTCTATTTTATTTATTTTTTTCAATTAAAATTAAATTACTATCAAGATCAAATTATTTAAAAAAAAAAAAAAAAAAAATAGTTACACAGAGAATTCGAGCCACAGAGAAAAGAGCCGTGTGTGTGATCAAGTTACGGTGCAGGAGTTTTCTCTTTGTGTTTTTGTGCTGTGAGTCCTGTGTTTTGTCACCTTACTCGTGTCATTTGTCTTTATACAAAAACAAGTATAGCTAAATGATGACTCCAGATTATATATACATATATATAAAAAAAAAAAATCAGCTGATTTCATTTTTGGTTAAAGTATTAGGGAAAACAAATGCAAAGAATGTATCGATTTGACATTCTTATACAACTTTGTTCTGTAAACTTTTTTTTTTACATGCCAAAAAACATGCGGGCAATATGTGGATGTAAGTCAACTGCACAGTAATGTACTTTTTTTTTTTTTACTTCTGAACTTCCATTTTTTTTTTTTTTTTTGTCCCGTGGTATTTTTGGTTCTCATTTTTAAACTCTTTGGTTGGGGATCTTTAATTTTCCTTCATTTCCGTTTCTACTTTGTTTCTTAAGTTACAGTTTTGTTTCTGAGCGTTTGCATTTTTTATTTCTTTGTGTTATTTTGTGATTCAAATACGTGATTTATTTGCATTTGCTGTGCTTTAATTTCAGAGATTTCTTTATTTTCTGTTGAAATGTTTCATTTTTGGGAGGGGGACTTTTCTTCATTGTGCCATTATTATTTTGATTTTACAGTGATTGTGAAAGGTCCATGCCATTACAAAAAAAAATAAATACATTTTAGCCACAAAGATCATACAGATCGTTAGGTGATACTTTAGATGAGCCAAAGGTCACAAGCACAGAAAACAGCATAGGTAGCTGATCGATGTATTACTACAGCTAAGACTAGGCAGATAATACAGTGATGAAGCATAATGAAGTTGGCTGATCAATGTATTACTACAGCTGGGGATGAGTAAGAGAACACAAGGCTAGGACACAATGTAGGTAGATAATCGATGTATTACTACAGTGGAGACTAGGCAGATAACGCAAGGATAGGGCGTTACTACAGTTGGGGACAAGGAAGAGAACACAAGACTAGGGCACAATGTAGGTAGATGATCGATGTATTACTACAGTTGGGGACAAGGAAGAGAACACAAGGCTAGGGCACAATGTAGGTAGATGATCAGTGCATTACTACAGTGGAGACTAGGCAGATAATGCAAGGATAGGGCGTTACTACAGTTGGGGAAAAGGAAGAGAACATAAGGCTAGGGCACAATGTAGGTAGATGATTAGTGCATTACTACGGTTGGGGACAAGGAAGAGAACACAAGGCTAGGGCACAATGTAGGTAGTCCGATCGATGTATTACTACAGTTGGGGAAAAGGAAGAGAACACAAGGCTAGGACACAATGTAGGTAGCAGATCGATGTATTACTACAGTTGGGGAAAAGGAAGAGAAACACAAGGCTAGGACACAATGTAAGTAGCTGATCAATGTATTACTACAGTTGGGGAAAAGGAAGAGAACACAAGGCTAGGACACAATGTAGGTAGCTGATCAATGTATTACTACAGTTGGGGACATGTAAGAGAACACAAGGCTAGGACACAATGTAGGTAGATGATCGATGTATTACTACAGTGGAGACTAGGCAGATAACGCAAGGATAGGGCGTTACTACAGTTGGGGACAAGGAAGAGAACACAAGGCTAGGGCACAATGTAGGTAGCTGATCAATGTATTACTACAGTTGGGGAAAAGGAAGAGAACACAAGGCTAGGACACAATGTAGGTAGATGACCAGTGCATTACTACAGTGGAGACTAGGCAGATAATGCAAGGATAGGGCATTACTACAGTTGAGGACAAGGAAGAGAACACAAGGCTAGGACACAATGTAGGTAGCTGATCGATGTATTACTACGGTTGGGGAGAAGTAAGAGAACACAAGGCTAGGACACAATGTAGGTAGGTGATCGATGTATTACTACAGTTGACGACAAGTAAGAGAAGACAAGGCTAGGGCACAATGTAGGTAGCTGATCAATGTGTTCTCTTCCTTGTCCTCAACTGTACCAATACATCGATCAGCTACCTACATTGTGCCCTAGCCTTGTGTTCCCTTTCTTGTCCCCAACTGTAGTAACACAAGGCTAGGGCACAATGTAGGTAGCTGATTGATGTATTACTACAGTTGAGGACAAGTAGGAGAACACAAGGCTAGGGCACAATGTAGGTAGCTGATTGATGTATTACTACAACTGAGACTATGCAGATAACGCAAGGATAGGGCGTTACTACAGTTGGGGACAAGGAAGAGAACACAAGGCTAGGGCACAATGTAGGTAGCTGATCAATGTATTACTACAGTTGGGGAAAAGGAAGAGAACACAAGGCTAGGACACAATGTAGGTAGATGACCAGTGCATTACTACAGTGGAGACTAGGCAGATAATGCAAGGATAGGGCATTACTACAGTTGAGGACAAGGAAGAGAACACAAGGCTAGGACACAATGTAGGTAGCTGATCGATGTATTACTACGGTTGGGGAGAAGTAAGAGAACACAAGGCTAGGACACAATGTAGGTAGGTGATCGATGTATTACTACAGTTGACGACAAGTAAGAGAAGACAAGGCTAGGGCACAATGTAGGTAGCTGATCAATGTGTTCTCTTCCTTGTCCTCAACTGTACCAATACATCGATCAGCTACCTACATTGTGCCCTAGCCTTGTGTTCCCTTTCTTGTCCCCAACTGTAGTAACACAAGGCTAGGGCACAATGTAGGTAGCTGATTGATGTATTACTACAGTTGAGGACAAGTAGGAGAACACAAGGCTAGGGCACAATGTAGGTAGCTGATTGATGTATTACTACAACTGAGACTATGCAGATAACACAAGGATGGGGCACAATGTATATGGCAGGTCAGAGAGTACAAGGATCGGTCACAATGTAGGTATCCATATAATGTTACAGCTAATTACAAGGCAGAGAAGGATGGTGAACACTGTAAGTAGATGATCAAGGTATTACTACACTTGAGGATGAGGAATAGCACACAAGGAGGGATTCACAGTGGAGGTAGCTTATTGCTGTATTGATGGAGGATGAGACAAAGAACAAAGATGGCATACAATGATGGTAGATGATCAGTGTAATTTCTACTTCTGAGGACAGGACAGTGTACAATGTAGGTAGCATATTGTTGTATTACCACAGCTAATGGTGAGAATACAAGGGCGGGGCACAATGTAAGTAGCTGATCAGTGTGCCATATCACTTTATAATCCTTAGTTATGGAGATCGGGGATCATATTCACAACACAGCAGGCTGCCGCTCACTCATTGGAGCTGAGTCGGCAAACGTGATGACATCAGTGCCCTCACTCTGCCCTTGCGTTACAGCTCAGTGGAGTGATCAAATGTACTACTACAAACAAAGGATGAGGCAGAGATAACAAGGGTGGGGGTACAGTGTAGGTAGTTAATGTATTACTACAGTTGAGAACAAGGCAGAGAATACAAGGATGGGGCACACTGTAGGTAGCTGATC